CGCTTACTTTTTCGCTTCGATTCAAATAGCCCCTTTATAAGGACCCCCACTCAGCAACTGGTCAAAGTTGCAAGTGACCTACGCCGCATAGAGGCCCAGAACGAAGCAGATTCCAAAGATTTCTTTTCACTCGTTTTTTACCTTTCCTGGAAGCGCGCAGCGAAAATGAAGCACACTTTTCAGGTCCTTGCATGAGCCCCTACAATATGCAAAAAACCGTTTTCGAAAAGCGCACCACGCCCTGAACGACCTCCCTTGTCAGGTTTCATGCGTTTGCTAATCGAAGCAGAAGCAGATCTCAAAAAACTATGATTACGCACAAAAGCGACAATCTCGCAAAAAAACCGCTCCTATTGAAGTATCCTAATTCGAATCAAGTTAAAGGAACGGTGCTAACGTAGTTGGGCAAGGGACGCGTGGTCCCTGAAGGAAGTGGACGACTTGTGCCCGTAAAACTCGTCCGGCATTTTTTCCTGGTGTAGGTTTAGGCAACAGTTTAGAACGGAAGGTAACACACATTGCCTACACAAAGCTTATATTTCTGACTACAAAGAAGACTGAAGCAAAAACACAAGTGATTCTACTCACGAGGTTCGCTTGGAGTCGGTGTTTTCACATATGTTTCTCCGTTGACTGATGTATTTCCATTCGAGCTTTGCACTTGTTGATCATTGTGGGGTCGTTTCTGGCTTCCAGGTTTGATTGGAAACACCATCTCACTGCAATGTTTACAAGTAAAATCATGAAGCAAGTATGAAGATAAAGTAGTAAACAGGTAACAAGGTAAGTGATTACATGTAAAAGCACTAGCAATCACGCGTGTGATTGCGTACTGAGGAGACTACCGTATCCTCGTGCTTACTTTCCGTTGCGTTTTGATTTCCGTCTCCAGTTCCGGCTGAGCGCTTGCCAATAAGGTGCACGATGAAAGAGCAAATACAGCAAATATGAGCTAGTTATGGACTTTTGATGGAGGTCCTAGCGCGAAAGGCAAAGACCGCGGTTGCCCAGGCATGGAATGTTCAAAAAACATGTCGCAAGAAGGGGATTTTTGGGAGAAGAAGACTCCGGGGTGGATCAGCCCCACTTATTATGGGAGGAAAGATGAAATGTATGAGGCCAGAGTGTTCATAGAATGCAGGCACACATAAGAGCGCAGAGAAAGACAGAGTTGACGCAATTAAAGGGATTAAAGCTTATAACAACCTCGTCAAACAGTTTGAAAGACATACAACATATAAAAGAATTACTTATGGGTTGTCAGTCGACCGAAAGGTGGCGAAGGTCAGTAGTGGGAGAGGGCCACCACGAACACCACCACGCTCACTCTGCAAGCCGTATAGCGTACAATGGTGCGCTAGTCAGCGGAATTTCAGCAGAGTCGCGATGCCTCCTCTCCGTGATAAACTTTCCTGCAAAAGACATCCCTTTCATGTTCATCGACCTCTACGGGGAATCCACTCGGACGCCCGGTGGGTCGCATTCGAACGCCACGGAGCCCGCATCGCTACCCATTTTATAACGCAGCTCCTTCAAAAAGGCATTCCCCATCTAGTATTTGCGTTATAACGTTCTACCGAGAACAGTTCCGCCAAATGCGGGATCAGCTGGCCGCCTTACACGTCGAGCTCACCACTCCAGGGGCGTGGGAAGGAAGTCGTCATATTGCTCCACCAAGACAGAGTTCGATCCAGAGTGTGCCGACTTCCTGGACGATTATCGGCGGCTCAATGTAGCTGTCTCCCGCTGTAGGCACGGCCAATTTATATTTGGCCATGCCGCTTCTTGCGTCCCGTACCCACCTGGACGGGAGTGTTGGATTGGGCTCAGTCCATCAACGCAATTGTGAGACCAGCATATCCTAACCGCTATCTGCGCATCCAACGCAGTCGACTCGAGCCCCACCCCTTTCTTTTCCCCTCCTTGGCTTGTCCATCGAATAGTCCGCCACCGGACGGGACTTGTGGCGTGGTACCCGATAGGTTTTGCTATGACTCATCCTTTCTTCCCAGGGCGTGGCGATCTGTCGCACGAGAAGCTCGGGAGTCGACCGCTTGCTGAAGCCGAGAAATAAGAGACTGCAGCTTTGAACCTCTTTCCATCTCTGAGGCGACGGCTCGTCCGAGGGTAGGAGCTGTGCGTCATCGTCTTCTTCGCGCACAATGAGTCGCCGCAATCTACTTCAACGATCACGGTAAGCGTTTTACTTGTCATCATCTGGGCCATACTTTTTTGGATAGGAGCTGTGCGTCATGCGGTCTGATCTTATGATCCTAGATGTCGAGTGGTCTGAATGCGTGGAGCGGACACGAGGGGAGAGGCGAGATGTGCTCGGCGCGGACGGCTGGATTACAACTTCTGCCTACAGCTACTACCGTTCTAGACAGTTAACCATTGTTGCTAGTAAAGGATTAGTTATACCGGTCTGTTGTGCACGCTTCACTCACTGGTAGCAGCGAGTGGAGCTGCCCCTGTGCAGCTCTCTTCCTTTCGCTTTTCATTTTTATAGTCTCTTTCGTTGCTACTCCTCTCTATCCCACCCTCCCCTTCGCCCTACCTGGGCAGATCAAACAGTTCAGTCCGACCACGGTTTTTCGCAACCGTAGCAGCCTATGCATGGCCTGGCCAGCCACTGCCTAGTGAGAGGATGTTGCCGCCGCCGTAGCCGCTCGCCGTCGCATCGGATGATTCATTCGCATTCTTGCGTGGTCGTTCGAGGCACATTCCGACACTAGCGAGATTTTCTTTCCGTTTTCTTCTTCTCACTTCTTTGACTCATTCGTGCACGTTAAACCTTCACTGTGACACACTGGTTGGCATAAGGGTGCTTTTAAGGAAAAGGGTAGTGACTAGAGCAATGAAACACCTCGTATTTTTGTAGTTTCCGAGTAAACGACGTCGTCAAAAGGTAAAATTGAACGTGGGATTCGCTCTAGTATAAAATGAGAAGGATTACCAGACGGCCAATATCCGTTTTTTCCTGCTTTTCATTTGTGTGGGCGCAGGTCAGTAATGCGCGACTGGTGGCGCTTTGTTTCCATTCCTCGGACTGCTTTATCTCCTTGCTTATCTTCCAGTGAAACGCTTCGCCAATGGCCTTCGCTAATGTTTTCGAATTCTCTTCGTTGTTTTCTATCTTCAAGTTTCTCAGAGCGTTGAATGTTTTTCCTCCTTCTTATCTCCACTTTCCCCACTTACATTCCTTCACTTCTCTATGGCGATACTTTGGTCTCTCATCTGGAGGATATGCATATATATAACCGCGTCACAGCCGCCGCGACGTTTTTCTGTGCTTCGCTCGTTTTGTGCACTGTTACATTCTTTTCTTGTGTCAAACTTTTCTTGTCGTATCTCGGCAGACCATACAGTCCTCATAAACCCATAGTGTACGCACATCATATGTCTCGCCAGACGGGACCAGTGACTCGCTCACAAACACGCGCAGCCCTCGCCACCGGAGACATCAAGACCCAAGAAGGCGAAGAGTCCTCGCTTCATCAGCCACCGTTCACCGAGCAGCTCCGTTTATCCTTGGCAGGCCTTGGAGACTTGGATCCGGTCTTTGGCAAAGATGCAAAAGAACTGCGGGACGCCACCACGTCGGCAGTTACCGAAGCCTGGCGTGACGCGCGCCACTCGACTTCCACTTTGGCCCAGCAGGTCTCCGCCAATAACGTCAGCCTCCTCCACGAGCTTAACACTTCGTTTGCAGCTGTTGGTGATCGTTTCCAGTCCCTACCCACCGTAGTCTCGTGCGTACCTGAAGGAGCGTTCCCCGAAGCTATCGTATTTCTCTGGCGACGGGGATTCCCCTCAAATTTCCATCTGGTTGCGACGTTTTGATGATGTTATGCGCATGCGCACCGCCCCTCTGACTCCCGAACAGAAGGCTAATTTCCTGATTGGTCACTTAGAGGGGGTGGCGCGGGAAAAAGTGGAGGAATTATCGAGTGACCAGCGCAAAGACTACGACGCTATCGTAAGCCGTAAGCGAAGGCGTTCTCCCTCTGCGGGTGAGGAATCTTCGCCCGGAAGACAAGGACTGGCTGACCGATCGTGCCAATGAGTTCAACAACTACTCTAAAGACACCAGTACTGCCCGTCGTAAAATGGGTCGTCTTTTCAACGTCGCTTGTTCCACCTTGGCAGCTATGACAACTATGCAGGATGACACGGCCGTTCATTGGGTGAACGCTCACCCAGCCCTCCGGGAGAATGTGCCCCCTCCGTCTTGATTTTGTTCGAATATATGGCTCACGAAGCAGGCTGGACTAGGGGTCGCCTTCTTGACTTTTGGGTGGCTGGAGCTGACTATACCATGACGATGCGCGTAGAGTCAGTTGTCTCCAGTGTTGACAGCAAGCAACTGTCGGTACGCGCCGTTGGCTTCACCTGGAACCACGCAGGACTCATGGAACTCATGGACACGTACGGGCTTATCCTCGATGAGCGACTAATCGCCGACGGCTGTTCGCCTCGCCAAACTTACAAAATCGACAAATCTGGCGAATGAAGCAGTCTCCCATATGCTACACATAGTTTCTCGTGTGGAACCAGGCACCACGGCCATCGAATCCTTGACATGGTCTACCATAACACAATAGCTTGTACGCCTGCATCCGCTCAGGACCCTGGTTCGGCAGACCCGTGGCCGCACTTCCGGATACCTCCGGCTCAAACAACGATCTATTTCTCTCACGAATGATCGCGCTGCGACTCGGGATGACAGATCACCCGATCGCGGAAATACAAGCCGCTTTCGGCACAGGTAAAACGTTCCTTGGTGCTGTTGTCGCGGGCCTCCTCGTTCAACACAAAAAGGAACGCATTATAGTCACAGCCACCACCAACACCGCTGTTGCTCACTTCGCCTCCACCATGCTAGCAATAGACGAGTTCCGCCAGATCCGTCTTCTTCGGTACGTCTCTGAATCTGCGTTTCGCGACGAGTCACCCTTCCACTCCCGTCGACATCCATGAAGTACTCAAGTCTCTCGAAGAAAACTTTGCTGACTCCCTGAAACCACAAGAGCGTGACTCCTGTTCTCGCTTCCGCAAAGGACGACTGCTTTACGAGCAGTACGCCCGTGACCCCGACCGCACAATGAACATGACAGAATCGGAAATCGAGGAATATATATTGGCTGAAAAAGATGTCTCCGAGTGTGTCAAAAAAGTGGTTTCCACAATGTTCAGAGTCGGCCCACCAGATGTTCTCCTATTAACCACCGCTTCCCTGTTGAATACTGCAGCTACGGGCGGCGTGTTCAAGACTCACCTTGCCGATCGGATGGTAATTGTTATAGCTGAGGCATCACAAGTTCCTGAACCTATTTTGATCTGTTTTGTTACGATGTTTCCGGATACACGTCAGCTCTACATCGGAGATATTCACCAAATGCGGCCCTACGTTCAGTGCCCAAGAGAAGCCAATCCTGCACTTTTCGGGGCTCGCAGCGTCATATCTGTCCTAGGACATTCACCCGGCGTCCCGAAAACTGCAATGGTGACAAGCTTTAGGGCCCACCCCGCCCTTAATGCCTTGCCGAACCTCCTGTCGTACGGCGGGACACTCATCAATGGAACAACGGTGAACGACCGTCGTCTACTCTTAGATCGGATCAGCTTCCCTAATCCTCACCTCCCCTTCGCTCTCATTGATGTCGAAGGAACCTCTGTTCGTGCTCCTACTCGCTCGCACGCAAATGAGGAAGAGGCTACGATCTGTCTCTCCCTAATCCATCAGCTGCTACAGGTCGGCCTTTCGCCTAGTCAATTTTGCGTGGTAACCTTCTATCAAGAGCAATTCCGCCTACTGTTCGAGTTTGCATCTGACCGTAACATCGAAGACCGTAGACTCAATTCAGGGTCGTGAAAATGAAGCCATCATACTCCCTTACAACCCGTACCGATTTTCACCCCGAAGCCGCGACTTTCATCGACGACCCTCTTCGCCTGACCGTCGCGATTACGCGTTGCCGTCACGGACAATTTGTCCTGGGTCACGTTTCCACACTATGTACGTACCTTACCACACTGGGGAGGCCTTGTTCGCTGGGCTGAGGGCGCGGGCGCTATTGTTCCCTCATCCCGTCTACAGACTTTGTTCCGTGCCCATTAACCACCACTTCTCCATAATCGCTCAAAGCATCGCCTTTATCACAACTTGCACTCTCCCACGCAATCTTACGTCTTCTTTGCGCACAATGAGTCGCCGCAATCTACTTCAACGATCACGGTAA